TTGTACAACTACTTAAGATAACAAAAAATTAAAAAAACATTATCAACAAATCACTTATGAAATGCTAAGTTGACTTAATTACAGCTTCTAAGAAGCACATAAAGAATAACAATCACCCTGACACTCTCCCCTCCCCCCCAAAAAAAATCTTCCACAGCTGGTGTGCATGGCTTATACCCATGTAATCCTAGCAATTCAGGAGGCTGAGAGCTGAAGATGATGGTTTGAAGCCAGCCCAGGCGGGAAAGCCCACAAGACTGATACCCAAATAACCACAAGAAAACTGCAAGTAGAGCTCAAAGTGGTAGAGTGCTACCCTGGAGCAAAAAAGCTCAGGGACAACGAACACTCAGGCTACTCTACCAACTGACCAAAAACAGAAACAAAATCTTCAATGGCAATCAAAGGGTCCTCAATTCTCCACAAAAAAAGGAAGGTAGGTAACAACTACGCCTAAGCAAGTGATATTACTTCGCTTAAATCATTCTGAAATAAATTCTATTATCATTCTTCTTCTTACTTTCTTAATCCATCAGCAAATCCAGGCTCAAAGCTTATTTTAAGTAGTGAACCTTCTACCAACCTCCAAAGTCCATGCTCTTGGCTATTATATTACACACTAACCACAGAAGTGTTCCAAGACTTTCATTAATTTAGTAAGTGAGGAACAGAAATAAAAACATTGTCTAGTCTCAATTCTACGTGGGTGCTACAGAATTGATCACAAATAATATAGAATATAAGAATAGCTACCAAAGTGTACAAAGAAAGTGAGGGACTAAAGGGTTAGACACGATGGTTATTGTGTACAAGGATGCAGTTGAACAGCAACAACTTTAAATGAACCGTTAAGTGGACAACTGAATATTACAAAATAACTAGTAGGGATTTAGAATGCTCCAACACAAAATGGTTATTTCTGATATGCCAATTACCATCTAATCATTGCATAATGTAGTCTCTATAACCCATGAATGTGTACACTGTGCCAAGTGTGCTTATGAATTACATTAAAAGAATAGGTACAGAGCTAGGGGTTTAGTTCAGTGGAATAGAGTCTGCCTGGCGAGCGTAAGGCCCTGAGTTCAGTCCTCAGCTCTGGAAAAAAACCAAAAAACAAAAACAGGTACCATGCTATTAAAAATACCATTTCTTCCTCAGGCTATTCTCCCCTTATCAGTGCCTACCTGTAACACTCCTACCTGTAACATTTATATGACCTAAATGTTACAGGTAGGCTTTTCTTTATGACCTAAGTTTTAGCTATTACTACCTCTTCAATCACTTTATTATTTCCTGTTAAGACACAACTAGGAACAATCAAAAAAAAAAGAACCTCGGGGAAGGGAGGGAGGGAGGGGATGGTAGGGGGAAAACAATGGAGGGGGTAACAATGTTCAAGAGGAAGTGTACTCATTACCTCACTCATGTAACTGTAACCCTCTGTATAGTAGCTTTACAATAAAATAAAATTTAAAAAAAAAAAAAAAAAAAAAAGACACAACTAGGAGTAATCCAAAAAGGAGATATGAGCTCTCTATTTCCTCTGCATTTCCACTATTCTGTTACCAGAAGTGGGGGAAATGAGGGGAAGTTTTTAGACAGAACAGGAAATCTATTGGTATGTCTGCTAAAGTAACAATATTCTGGTATTTCTCTTCAAAGATACAAGGATGACAGAATTCTACAACCAAATGTGGGTGGCTTTCTTCCAAGAAGTACAATATAAAAAAAAAGTAATTTGCCAAATGTACATTCAGAAAGCTAAGACCAGACAACCAGCTCTAAAGTGTGAATCAGATATCTGAAAAAAAATTATTTTAGTTCAGGATTTCAGTTGATGATGAAAGGACAGAGTAGCTCATATAACAGTTACGAAGCAAACAACGCCCTACCAGGCTTCTTCCTTTTCCCCATCTGGACCCCAATCTATCGGGTGATATCATTGACATGCAGGCTATACCTTCCCCTTAGTACTAAATCTTCTCTGGAAATGCCTTCAGACTCAACCAGAGATGTGCTTTACTAATCTAGGGGTTTCTCAATGCAAAGTTGACAAAAACAAAAAATAAAATTTTACAGTGGGGAAAGCTGACAAACACTGTCTTAGCCAAGTGATCAAGGTTGACAACAGCTATTATTGTTGTTAGTACATACATTTGAACATGATGGGAAAACATCTTTACCCATGTGGTCTTCCTCCCCCAAACTCATAATCCACTTGAAATAACATTCTATGAAGTATCAGGCCTATTTTGTATGATCATTAGAAACAAGTCAAAGAAACCATTACAATAAAAACAAATTAAAGGGCTGGGAAGGTGGCTCAGTAGTAGAGTGTTTGCCTTGTATGCATGAGGCCCTATGTTCGATTTCCAAGCACCACAAAAGCAGAAAAAGCCAGAAATGGCACTGTGGCTCAAGTGGTAGAGTGCTAGCCTTGAGCTGAAGAGCACAGGGACAGGGATAGCACCCAGGCCCAGACTTTAGGCCCCATGACCGACCAAAAAATAAAAATAAAAAATCGAAATGCTGAGGAGGATTGGGTGGGGAGGTGGGTGGGGGGTGTGGGGGGAGGATGGGAAGGGGAAACAAAGGAGGCTACAATGCTTGATAAGAAATGTACTCATTATCTTGCCCATGTAATTGTAACCCCTCTGTATAGTATTTTCACAATAAAAAAAAAAAATTGAAATGCTGGGAATGTGGCTTAGTGGTATATTGTTTGCCTAGCATGCAAGAAGCCCTAGGCTCCATTCCTCAGTACCAAATACACAGAAAAAGCCAGAAGTAGTGCTGTGGCTCAAGTAGTAGAGTGCTAGCCTTGAGCAAAGAAGCTCAGGGACAGTGCCCAGGCCCTGAATTCAAGCCCCCGGACTGGCAAAAAATAAAAAAAATGAAGACAATTAAAAATAACATAGTACCCTGGATGAGATCCTCGATCAGAAATGAAATAGGTAAAAACTTAGAAAAATCAGAATGTATACATTTTAGTTACTGATATCAATATGGGTTGATTTGCAAGGTATTAAGATTAGAGGGAGCTAGGTGCAGGGCAACACAACCTCTTTGACAATCGTTTTTCTGTAAAGCTAAAAGCTGATTTCTAAAGAAGATAACAAGTAAAAAACAAAACGTAGGTTAAAAAAACTTGACTTTCATATTCAACTTATTTACTTTGAATAAAACAAAATGAATGTTGTTAGTAATGATACTTACAAGGGAAATGATTTAGTTAATGTCAATCTATCAATGTCAATCAATATAATAGGTGGAAATTACCCATCTCCAAGATTTTCCATTAGAGAGTAATTTCATTCTGGTTACAGATGTATCTCTTAGGAATGTACAGGTACAGCCAGGGGCGGGTAGCTCATGCTTGTAATCCTAGCTACGCAGGAGACTGAGATCCGAGGATCACGGTTCAAAGCCAGCTGAGGCAGGAAAGTCTGAGAGACCCTTTTCTCCAATTAGCCAACAGAAAACTAGAAGTGGTGCTGTGGCCCAAGTGATAGAACGCTCACCTTGTGCTGAAGAGCTCAGGGACAGCACCCAGGCCAAGTTCAAGCCCCACAACCAACAAGAACAAACAAAAAACAAGAAATGTACAGTTGCCAGATGCCAGTGGCTAAGCACTAATTCTGGCTACCCAGGAGGCTGAGACCTGGAAGATGAGCATTGACAGAATAGTCTTTTTAAGATTGTCTCTCCAACTCAATGATTATTATCAAAATGCCAGAGATAGATTAAGTGGTACAGTGCAAACCAATTCAGCAATGTTCTTACTTCACAGGCTTGTATTTAAATACAATGAAACCACTCCTTGCACAACAAATAATTTTTTTCATTTGTAAAAAAATGCAGCTTTTGAAAAAAAAAAGGTGGGCTACAGAGGAGTTAGCACTTCATAAATCAGGTATGAGTACATTTCTTTTTGGTGTCACCTCTTCACTATCTCCAATTTCTTCCTCCCACAAGTTGTGTAGTTCATTTTCAGAACTGTCTAATGACTAACACAGAAATTCAGTGTTCTTAAATGATATTTCAACAATTTAAATGTGTCCTATTGAGAGTAAGTGGGATGGCAGGAAGGAATGTAGAACACACCCATTTTCACTTTTTTCACTGTAGTAAACCATTTTTTCATTTATATGGTACTAAAATGTTTAGTACCAAATGCTACATAACTAAAATTAGACCAGATGAACTCTGAACTTGGTGAACTATTACAAACTAATTAACCTACCAGTATCATATACAGGTGATATGGAGAACAGTTCTGTTTATCACTAATACACCAGGAAAAATGAAAGAATAGACAATCAAGATTATGCTTTATCTTATGTAACTGTAACCCCTCTGTGCATCACCTTTACGATAAAATTAAGTTAAATTAAAAAATAGAATACAAAAACTTCTAGAGTACATCTAATAAATGGGAGTATTTCAAAGCAATGTAAGTTCCAGATCCCAAATGAATAACTTTCTTCAACGCTAAGCATATTCAACTAAAGTGTCTTTTAAGACCATATCCTGGTCTCAGCCAGTAGTGTTGTGTGCATTTGGCCGGCTTTGCCAGCACAAAAGTTGTTATGTTTAGTTTTCCTATGTCAACAAATGCTTTAAAGTTAAGCAAAGATCAATGCACCATCCCAAATCATCATGGTCCTGTTGACATAAACTTTTTAATTCAAAAGGGTACAAACTGTTAGAAAACATTCCTTGAGACCGAGTGGGAAGTTATGTTTACTGGACAACAGATTCCACTTCCTTCTACCACATAAAAATATAAATAGGTCTTCTTTTTGCTCTTAAGTTTAGTATTTAGTATTAAACTGATGTCCTTCTCTTTAACTCCCCTACTTTAATGACCAACTATAATTATTTTTAGCCTATTTATATTTAGTAAGTATGGCAACCAGAAAATCCATAATATAGTAGGCAATGTTATTTTTTTAGCAGACAATACTTGTTTATATAGATAAAACAGAACACAGATATGAGTGAACAATTTTTATTGAAACCCTCAAAGATTAAAGAGGACCAATGGTGAGTTTGGGTACCATAACAGAAAATCTCACCTAACTGTACCATCATTCACAGGAATGAACAAACCCAAACACGACAAAATTCAAATTCTCATGTAACTGCTACAAGTGGATGTATATGAATTAATCATTCCATCATAACCTTCTTTTAATTATATGAAAAAGGGAATTTACATGGCATAACAAAGATATGCAAAACTTAATGAAAACACAATTCTCTTAAATCTCTCAAACTTATTTTTCCCCCGAAGGATGCAGAATGCACTTGAAGTGATTAAATGCCTTAAACTGATTCTTTTTTTTTTCTTAATTGAAAACTGTTTAATATCATCTTAACCCCCATGCATGGTACTCAGAAATAACACAGCTTCTGAATTAAAAAGATCACTGACATTAAAATGAGGAATTAAGTACGAAAAAGACTGGGTGTTTTTTGTAATTTTTTAAAAGGAATATTCAAGTACCAATGAGTATAGAGAAAGAATACTAATTTTGGTTACATTTCCCCCCCCCTTACTGTTAAAATATACAAACTATAATGCCTTTCAAAATGAAATACCCACAGAAGGTAGCTTTAAAATAACCATTCAAATCAGAAATCGAAAAACGCAAGAAATTTATGGGGCTAATGTCTTAAGTCATGATTACTCAAACATTTAACTCTGTATCTCCTCCTGTAGAGCCCAGGCTCTCTCCCTTTTGGTCCCCACAGTTAAACAACTTTCTACTAGTTGTGCTCTGGAGACAACTTGTAATAATTTCATTTAGAGAAAAAATTATCTTGTAATACAATGAACGACCAAGAAGGAAAAGAAGGTTGGTGCTTTGGGGAAAACTTAAATGGGAAAACCACAAATTTATCAGCTGAAAAGGTCTTGTTTTTTTCCACAGGAATGCTGCACCCATTCCACTTTAAGATCAGAAATCCAGGTTAAAGGCACTGGGATGTACTCCTCACCATGCATAGACTCTCAACTACATTGGACAGGTCTGAGTCTACTGCAGTCAGCCTGCTTCGGTGTTTCCATGACATTTCTTACATAGAAACCTAATGTAAATTAAACAAGTTTGAATCCATTTGTAATGTAACTAGTTTTATAAAAATATCCAGAGTTGCTAATAAAGCACCAAGAAAAAGAGAACCTCAGGGAGAGGACTTAGCTCCTTCCTACAAGGTCACCCTTTTACAGTTTTCTCTAATAGGACCTTCCAGAATGACAACAGTCATCTTCGATATGTCCTATCTATACAATCTTAAGGATATAGAACATTGCTCTGGTGACTATACCCAAATGCCGATTTTCATTATAATAGCTAAGAGACATGTTACAAGATTTCATGGCTTAGTCTCAAATAGGTAAAATAGGTGCAATTTTCCTTGAAGAAAGTCTTTATTTTTATCAATAACGTTTTGATGTTCCCTTCAGTAAACATTGATAGAACTATACTGGGACTACCAAATAATTGTGAAGTAGCTACAGTTATCTACAAATACTGTAGTCTAGTGAAATAGTACAGTATTTGTACATTTTAAGAAAATATTGTACAAAAATTACATAAATGAAAGCCTCAAATATCTGTCACTAGGTTTTTGAGTTTAAGTAATCAGAGACCATAGCAAATGAAAACATTTCTAAACATGATGTAAACATAAAAGGAGTAATGCAAGGTATTCAAATCTACTGTATTGCTATTTTCATCCTTAACTATCATTCATTCTACATAGCTTTCTCCTTTTTTGGAACAGTATATAGGGAAGGGACATTATTTTTATAACCTTATGCCATCAAATCAGTTAATACAGACGCATAACATTCAATTATACAAAATCAATTTGTTTCAAGATACAAAATTAACGTTGATATGTAATTAATGAAAAAAACAAGATGTTATAAAGATAACTACAAGAATACCCAGATATATGCTGTATTCCCACTTATATAGATCTGATCAATAAAACATCAACACATTCACTTAGATACTGATTTAATTCATGGATCAAGGCCATATTTTCAAAGTATTTTAAAGATGCCAGGACATTGCAAAAGCTGGAGAAAAAAGGTGAGGAGCTGTATATGCTTGCTAAACAAGAACTATGTTTATTTAGCTAGTGAATACCTAGAGTAATAAATTTTTACTTCATGATAGCAATCAGGCTCGCAAACACCCAGAAATAGGAATTAAGGGTTTTAAATGTAGTTATAAAGGTCATAAAAAGTCTGATTAGACTGAGGTACATGTACTCAAAATTTTGAGATTCATTAAGTGGTAGCAAACAAAATAATTGCTCAGACAAATGCACATTTCTCAGGGTACATATAATTAGGGAAAGGAGGGAAGAAGAATGTGCATTATTTGGTGCAATCCACCAAGCTGCATATCAATATTCTGTTACACCAAACAGTTTGAAGACAGGGAAACATTCTAATATAATTTCAGATTATGTTTCATTTGGCTAAAATAGAGCTTAAGGTTGCTTTGCCATATTAAAAGTTTACTACAATAATTTTCCACATAAACATTTAGACTTCAACTTCAGGACTAAATATGGCATGATTATTTTGCTTTTAATCTGTCATATAGCTAAAAATTGACAATTTAAAAACTACAACAAAGAAAGTTTGAAGCAGTGTGACTCTTACATCATTGAACCACTTCTAATGGTTAACTGTTAGTATTTAACAAATTCAGAGTTAATGAATCCTTGCATTCATTCAGTCTTCTGTGCCTTAAGCTAGGATGCATAATTACAAAAGACAGCAGATACTGGTAAAAGCTTCAGGACAGAAAGTGCTTGACAAAGTTACAGTTCTCAAGTGTGTTTGGTGAGAGTATATAAGGGCAGATGCGCTGATGAAAACCATTACAAGAAGAGTCAATTTGTGTTAAAGTGTTCAAAGATGTCACCTTAAGCAGAAAAAAAAGCTTTAATAACGTCTTCTTTGACTTATTAGGCATTTCCAGAGTCTACATCATTAGTGTTGTAATTTTAATAGGACATCTCCATACGATTATTGTTTGTTTCTATTTCTCTCCTGAAAGAAAAATATAGAAAAAATGTAATAAATACTGTTAAAATTTTAAATTATATATACATATCATGTAAATCATCTCTTCAAAGTTCTTCAAATACTAATTTAAATAATCAGTTACTATTATTTCTATATATCATAGTTGGACAATCACAACATACTTCCACATTACACATTTTAAATAAAACCAGGTGCTAGTAAGAGAATACAATGATCTGAATACAAACCTCAGTACCACAACAAACAAAAAAAACCCCAAGCAAACAAACAAACAAACAAAAAACCCACAAAGAAATCACAAACACTATCTCAGGAGAGTTTAATGCCACTCCATAACCCGACTTATCTCTCCCACAGGATTTAAGGTGAGGATACTATAGCAATGTTTTTTCAGTCCTTCCAATGAATTTTTTATGATGAATTATAGGAATTTGAAAGCTATTTGGATAAGGTGGAAGCAAACGAAAGTAAACAGATGCATTAAAATAAGATTTGATATTTATTAAAACTTACAATTGTAATTTTTTTCCTTTTCTTATTTTCATATTCAGCATACTAAAAAACCTTTCACATGGAGACAGAGGACACGATGCAAAGCTAAAGGAAATACGATAGTTTCCTGGCTGCTCTGGAGCCTCAGGGAGAATGATGAAACAACCCACCCAAAAAAAAGGGGGGGGGGGGAGAAAGTTGGGTGACACTGATGACCAAGTTCTCACAACTGACATATTCAAATGAAAGCCTTTTGTAAAACTAAAGATAAATAATACAAAACAGTAATAGTTTTACTAAGATGAATTATAGATGAGGTCTATTCATATAAGTAAAACTCCTTGTTAAGTAGACAAATATAAGCCATTGAAACAAAATCACCACTCCACAAAACTTAAAACCAGTGTTTCCACTGGGTTCCAGTGGCTCATTTCTGTAATCCTAGCAACTCAAGAGGCTGAAATCTGAGGATGGTGGTTCAAAGTCAGAACAGGCAGGGAAGTCTGAGAGACTCTTATCTCCAATTAGTCACCATAAAAGCTGGAAGTAGAGCAGTGGATCAAGTGAAGTGGTAGACCAGTACCCTTGAATAAGAAAGTTCAGGGACAATGTCCAGACCTTGAATTCAAATGTGTATTACTAATCAAATGTTTTGTTTTGTTTCTCCAGACCTGAGGCTTGAACTCAGGGCACGGGCACTATCCCTGAGCTTCTTTTGCCCAAGGCTAGCACTCTACCACTTAAGCCACAGTGCCACATCTGGCTCTTTCTGTTTATGTGATACTGAGAAATTGAACCCAGGTCTTCATGCATGCCAGGCAACCACTCTACCACTAAGTCACATTCCCAGCCCTCAAATATGATTTCTGACAATGACTAGTATACTTAACTACCAATGAAACACATTAAGTAATCTGCAACATACTGCTTAATATGAAACTCTGTGGTCCTCAAATGTTAACAAGCTTCAAAATCACCTAGACTACTTGTCTAAACATTGATAATTGGTCCCTAACTACTTGTCTAATGTGAAAACTGTGAATCTGCATTTCTAACAATTTCACGGGTGAACTTAACTACTGGTACCGCATCAGCACTTTGAAAAGCACCAAGTGTCTTAACATGTAAGTAAGACTCTACCATTTTATTTCTTCATGATTACAGGTTGAAGCCACTGGGCCTGGACCTGGCTTTAAATATCATCTAACTTTTTGCTTGGGAAAGACTTGACATCTCAATTGGTTCTACTACATCTACTTCTCAAGCAGGTAAAATTATAGGCATAAGCTGCCATGCCAGGTCCTCAAATCAGAATTTTATCTAATCTTGTTATACATGGATAAAAAAAATCTAAACACAAGCACACAAAAAGTTAAAATTAATGGAGACAAGCACAAATCAAAGAATCATAGAACCATATTAATATCAAATTTCAAAACCACTATTTGAGATAAAAGTTATAAATATATATCAAATAATAAAGTTTTTAAAGAGCTGTAATAATATTAAACTAAAAGTACAACTTCAATTATACTGAAAACTGCCAGAAAAATCTCAATAAAAGCTGCCATTCAATAAGGAATTGGGATGGCTGAGAAATAAGAAGCAATAGAGAGGGTTATTCTGAACAAAATGTAACGTATGCACATTAGAAATAGTGAAACCCATGGTGCCACTATTAAAAACATGAAATAAGTAACAGGAAAGTAGGGCAGCCTCTGTTGGAAAGAGTGAGCACCAATATGAGGAAAGAAGGCTAGTGAAAGAAGGTGAAGAAAAATGTATCAATAAAAAAAAAGAAAAGAAAAGTTTATCAATGAAGTTCTTGGAGTGATTTGAGAAGCAGGAAGTAGAATAAGGAAGGGTAACAAGAGGAAGATGAAGATCAGGATAAAATATGTGCTCGTGGGGAGATATCACAAGGAAATGGACTGTGTATAACCAATGTATACTAATAAATAAGTTGCTAGAAGGAAAAATTTATCATTTCTCTTAGCTTATTAACTATTTAGTAAAGCAAACAGTAAGTAAAAAAGTTAACTACAAAGAATGTAGAAAACTACATATTCAACCCACACACAGAGTATACAACAAAAAAAGTGAATACATGTTAGGCCATGTATTCAGAAATGCCAAAGAATCCACTTTATTCAGACCACATTTTAACATAGAATTGAATTTAATCATATTTGAAAATTCAAAAAACACCTTCCTAGAGGAAGAGATATAAGGACTACAGTTCAAAGTTAGTCCAGACAAAAACTAGAAATATCTAACATTAAACTTAAAAAAGAAAAAAAAAGGGTCTGAGTAATGGTCCTAAAGATATTACACATACCTTGCAAGCACAACACCCTGAATATATCTTAGTACTTGGGGATTAAGCACTTTTAAATACCTCTAAAATATCATTATGGAAATTAGAAAACTTTCATATGAGTATGTTAATTAAAAAGTTAAGAATAGTCCCTCCAAAAACAATTCAAAATTTATGTATGTAGTACTAAGAGGAAATGGCACTAGGTCATTATCCAATTCAACATTCAAAACATGATTAGCATAAGTTCCCTAAAAAGACACAAATGACAAGAAACACAAGAGAGATACAGACTCAAAGAGAACAAAAGTTAAAAGTTAGCAGAGGCACTTTTTGAGGGAAGGGAGACTAACTATAAAATTATAGAACAATACTAAAAAACATAACTATAAAAATGAAAGACCAATTTGAGAAATAAAGCTAAATGTGAATTTCAAATCAGCCTGAATTATACAACAGGCTCTGTCTCAAAACAAAAAATAAATGAAGTATAATAACATCATGGAAATAAAAATATGATTAATACTAAAATGCCAATAAATCTACAAGTTCAAGCAAAATGGACAACTTTAGTCAAAAATAATGAAAATTGTTTGGACTTTGGATAAATGTAGAAAGCAAGACCAACAACACTGGGATAGGAAAGAATGAGTGGTGCCCTACTCTCAAGAAGATGGAGAAACTTAAGGATAAACAAACAGGAGTTACACAAAATTTGAATATTTATGAAGCAAAAAGATGAGGCTAGAGATAGGGGGAAAAAAAAGTCCAGGATGGGAACATAAACTTAGAAGTCATAAATGAAAAGTCTATCAACAGAAATCTATGGTCCATTTCTTCCAAAATAACAAAAGAAACCCCAGCTTTGTACTTCCAAGAAATGAGACTGTGCCTTATATTAACATTATATTATGTAAGTATTCCAATACAACAAAGCATTTATGGACTATCAGCTATAGATCAGTAGTCATCTGAGACTAAGAAGTGGCTAGCTATTAATGATATTATTTTTGTTATAAAAATAAGGAATACATCACACAGTTTACATCATAATTACATATATTGGTGTGCTACTGAGAATTAACAGAATTTTTTCCTCCCTGGAGGAGTAAGCCCCTAATGATAGTTTAGAAAGACATTAAGATCGATTCTTTAGGGTAAAAATTATGAAACTATCCAAATGGAAGCACAGAATTCCCTTTTACTTTTAATGACTAGTTCTTTCAAAAAAATTCACACTGGGCACTAGTGGCACACAGCTATGATCCTAGCTACTCAAGAGGCTCCAAGATTAAAGATTGTTGTTTAAACCAGCCTGGGAAGAAAATTAACCACAAAAATCCAAAAGTGGAACTGTGGCTCATCAAGTGATAAGAGTGTTAGTCTTGAACAAAAAGGGGACAGTAAGCCATCAGTTCAAGCCTCAGTACCAGCACAATGAATTAAAATTATTTACAATAGAATCCCTTTTTTCTCACCTTACCTTTAACCCTTTCCCATTTTAATACTACTGTGTCTCCACCCATGGATTCTAAGATTTGAGGGATGGTAATTCTTTGAAGAAAAAAACTGGATAGCATAAGTTTTCTTCTCCAACCTAGATACACTGAAGACCAAAAAAACGTAACAAGGCTAGTATCAGAATTTGACCTACAATGATGAACTCAAGAATAAGTGCACTGTAAAACTTTTTTTGGTCAGTAGTGGGGCTTGAACTCGGCCTGGGCACTATCCCTCAGCTCTTCAGCTCAAGGCAAGCACTTGAGCCACAGTGTCACTTCTGGTTTTCTGGTTGTTAAGAGTCTCACAGATTTTACTGCCCAGTCTGGCTATGAACTGTGATCTCAGCTTCCTGAGTAGCTAGGATTACAGGTGTGAGCCACTGGTGCCCCCAAAAACACTTATTTTTTACATTGATGAGCTAAGGCTGCCCATCCTTCAGATGAAGGAAGAACTAGAAAACAGTAACTTTCCGTAATATCCTAAGAGGTACCTGCAGCTTTTGACATCAGAAGCAAATGAGTTATTTTCCTTTTAATAATCTTAAGGTTTATCACCTTTAGCAGTATTTCAATAAACCCAGTCACACAAATGAGCCACAGGGGAAAAAGTATGTATGTATGTATGTATGTATCTAGAAGCCATAGTATCCAGAAAGAAAAAGAAAGAAAGCCCTAAGAACAGAATAAGGATA